TCGCATACTGGCGGGACATCATAGTCAGTACCTCGTGGACAACGCACGTAAGTCAGCTCGTACCTCCTCGGCCTCGTATAAAGGCTGTTGAAGCGAGGTAGTGGGCTGCCCTGTCCACTTCCTGATAGAGATATACGAGATATCGTCCTGGGCTTGTCCTGCCTCCGGTACGTATAGCTAGAGGACCGAGAATCTATATCCAAAGCTAGAAACGTTTGTAGGTGCGCTCGCACCTGATCCACTCCATTATACCATGTGCCTCCGAGGCCCGTATGTGTGGACGCGACGTGGTCGAGGTTTTGCGTATCCTGCGCATCGATGTTGTATCGGTACGCGGCAGCTCTGTCTTCGCTGTGTACGAAGCTGCCCCGGTTTCCGTGGACCTAGGACGACGTGAGGCTCAGTCCTGAAGGTAGACTGTAAGTGAGAGCTCGTACCTGATTATCGATCTCCAGGCATGGATAAGCCAGCGATTCTCCGGTTTGTACCTCTCCCCACCCTTCAGCCGGCGTGATCTGTGGAGTAGAGAACGTTGATAATATGTTACCGCTGCCGTCGTCAGGCAATGCCATTGATATAGGAGTATCAAATGCCTCAAACGGCTCTACAGCCCCGGTGCGGGTCCCGTCATGTGGCTGTTCATATCCCCCTGGCTGGGCTGTAGATGATGGCTGCGGCCCAGTCGGGTCGCAGAAGCTAGCGTACGTGGACTGGGGGGTGGCATACACCTCTGCCGCTTCCAATCCTCCACGACAGGTCGACCCTATTGGCAGGTCGTACGTTGTCGTCCATTGCGTGGGCGGAAGTGAGGTAGTGCGGTGATCATCCGCAGGGGATGTCGATAACGTAGCGGCAATGTATGTGGCAGTGGATGGGTATGCATCCTCACGTCTCTGTCAGAGCTTTTAGTAATGATACATTGTACCAGAGTGGGTGGCACGCATACCTTCGCTTCCCCCCTCTCTCCCAGCGCACCAGCCAGTGTCGAGTAGGGTGCAGCCGTAACGCTGCTGGTAGATAGAGTGGTAGGCAAGCGCTCGACGTGTATATAGATAGTTTGTTGTTGCTCATCGATCTGCCAAAGCATTCAGTACTCGACATTGCCACCATGTGAATAAACTGTCTTACCTTCAAGTTGCCCACAACCCGTTCTACTAATGCATCAGCCAATGTAGAGTATTCTGAATGTTTTGCACCCTGAACTTTCGGCCAATTCTCGCGGTGTGCAAGGGTGTTCCAATCCCAGCGGTCGAAGTCACAGTGGGGCGTGGCACAGGTTGAAGGCCGGGCGAATGAACGCGTGCCGGGTGCCTCGGGGTGCATAGGGTACTGTAGATACTCAGTCAGTTGTTTCACGTAGATAATAGCGCGTCGTGTATCATGTTCGTAATAGATAAATTCATACCATATTGTGACGGACACTCGAGCCACACACACGGTCCATGCGCTCCTCGTAATTGCAGGTGGCCTGGATCTGGGGTGGTAGTGGGTGAGAGGCGAAGGGAAATGAGAGAGTAGGAGATCATAGAGCAATGGTACGCTTACAACTTCTATCGTATTATAGTCCATATGTCCAGAGTAGGTCCAGCCACCATCGGCACAGCTGTCGCCGTCTAGGGTGGTGGAGTACGGCGAAGGATAATGA